AAACTTAACTTTACAATTGAAGTTATTAATTACAATTATTCAATTGCAGTTAAAAACTTAACTTTACAATTACAAGATGTGATTAAATTTTGTGAAATATTTTGATTTCCTTAAGTGAAATTTTTTTATTTCAAATATATCCTAGATTCTGTTGTTATATGTAATATTTTATTGCTCGTTTTACAATAATTATCACTAATAATTTTTACACATATTATAAACTCCCGAGACTTTTTTGAGAGGTCCATCGCCCCCCTCCCCTCCACTAATCAAAATCAAATTTCTTCGCCTACGATGTCAAGAAAGTATTACCGCGGTCTGAAGGTATTGACTATTTGTTACAGTGTTTTTTCCTGTTCCTTTTATTTTTTTCCTTAAACTTTTACTTTAAGAAACGAAAGAAAGAAAGTAAATTTTATTCTTGGACATTTATTTCTTTCAGAATAAGTATAATGAACAACGAAATGACTATTGCCTGGCAATTATGCATAATTAAATGGTAATTATTTTACCAAGTTGTATATTCTTAATCTTTTTTTATTAATTACGATATTTACAACAGTTTTAGAAATAAAAATATATTTAGTAAATGTGAACGCAAGAATATCAATTGTGTATTAAGAATATTAATTAATTAATTAATACACGATTATTAAAGTTGAAAACATGAAACCACTAGTTGAGAAACAAACCAGTGAAAGCACTCTAAAAATGTATTTACGGCAGCAGATTTTGAGGCCAACTTCTTTACAGACGCTTCGGAGGGTTATCAGTGAGCGAGGAGGAAGCAAGATCAGAAACGAGAGAGTTTTGACGGTTCTGAAGTTTATTACGGAAGGATAGGTATCTGGATTGATCACGGTCAGAAACATAAGGAACATTAAGGTCGTTATGGATGATTTTATTTGTTACAAAGTAAGAAGCATTGTGGATTTTACGAAGGATTTTGGATTGTAAGGATTTGATATGAGAGCAATTCGATGGCTTAGTGGAACCCCAAAGCTCAACTCTGTAAGTCCAAATAGGTCTTATTGTATTCATATATATGAGTCTTTTGTAATTAACAGGAAGCTTAGAGCGTTTGTAAGTGCTGGAGTAGTCGAAAACGTCGGGCGGTTTCAGTCTGGTATGAGGATTACTAGTTTGGCGTTTGTCCTAGTGTAGTCCAAGGTATCAGATTTGTTCAAGAGGGATAAGTGAAATATTACTAAAGAATACTGTAGGACAAGAGGTCATAGGTTCACGGCGAAGGGTAAAAGTGATTTGATGGAATTTATTGGAATTTAATTTAATCCTAATTTTTTGACATTATTCTACAAGGTTTGTGATTTGTGATTGATGAGTGTGGGATGCAATGGTTGCGTCATTATTAATGGATAGGACCAAGTACCACCAATGAACTGGGAAAAGAGGAATGGATAAGCATTTTTGTGATTTACTTTGAAGTATTTACCAGTTTGGTAGGAACGGATAATGAGGAAATATGTAGGATCTAGGAATTTGCGGAGTTTGTAAAGTAGTTCTGAATGCCTCGACCAAAAACCTGTTCTTGTTGAAAAAGATTATCGTGCAAATATTCCACGCTCCAATGCAGAGGAGACAACATCCACCATGCGATGGAATTGCTGGATTGTTGAATGGAATCTGTGGAATACAGATTGATGAACTTGGACAATATGATTGGAATCTATAAGGAGGTACAGGCGTTTTAAAATGAGTTTTCTAGAGTTTTTCCCAGAATGGATAAAAGGGAGATAGGACGATAGGAGGATGGGTATTCTGGAAAATATGTGGATTGCAGTACAGCAATATATATATATATATATATATATATATATATATATATATATATATATATATATATATATATATATATATATATACATATACATATATTTTTTTTTTTCTCCCACTTTGAACTGAGTTAAAGTGGTTTTTCCCCTCCTTCCAAAGACAATATTTCCTAGGTACGTTCCTCTACCAAATCATCAACCATCATCGCCTTCGCCTTCTTACGCCTACAACCTTCCCCAGTTCAAATCCTCAGTCCATTCCCTGTCAGCAAGATCTCGACCTTCTAATCTTTACACGCCTTCTCATTCCAAAAACTCATTTATTGCTCTGTTAATTGCTCTGGAATTCTCTCGATATCAAATTTCGAATACACTTATTTTCTCTCTCTCTCTCTCTCTCTCTCTCTATATATATATATATATATATATATATATATATATATACTCTCTCTCTCTCTCTCTCTTTATATATATATATATATATATATATATATATATATATATATATATATATATGTATGTTATGTAATATATGTAATGTAATCTTTTAATTTTGTTATTCTCAAGGGACTGTGTCCCAGAATAAAGTTATTTTCTCTCTCTCTCTCTCTCTCTCTCTCTCTCTCTCTCTCTCTCTATATATATATATATATATATATATATATATATATATATATATATATATATATATATATGTATATGTATATGTATATATATTAGTAAGGATTAGAATGGCTTTCCGGGGAAGCAGTTTTATGATATGGAATTTAATTAGGCCGTGTCCAGGAAGCTTAATATTAAAATAAAGGAAATACAGTGTAGTATACAGTGTATATATATATTGAAGTAGACATATGAATTTAAATTGTGATTTCACATATTTGTACAAATAAGCAATATGGCAAATACATAGAAATATGCAAGATATCAGTATAATGCAGCTGACATCTCTAAACTACAAAATAACTTTATTTTTACATGTATTCGGGAGTTTGATTACTGAGGAGATGGAAAAATAAATTATGTTTAAATGAGTTTAAGGATGACTATAAAGGTTGGTAGGGAATTCCAAAACGACATAGCACGTATGGCGAAGGTTTTGTTAACGAAAACAGTTCTATGAGGAGAAATAAACAAATTTGAGGATTGGGATCTCGTGTTGAAGCAATGAACACAGGAACAAGGAGTAAAGAAATCAAGAAGGTTTTTTGGTTTAGGAGGTTCAGAAAAGAAATACACCTAGGAAATATTGCCGTTGGAAAACTGAATAGAGCGAATTCAAGTCGGCGTAACAACTGAAGACGTGGGAGCGCCTGGGGACTCCAAGGATAAATATAATGAAACCATTCATTAGTCTCTCTAATCTGATTTCAAGCCCACCAGACAGTCCACCGTATACAAGGCAGCTATAATCGAAGTGAGGGAAAATTATATTGGAAACTAGGAGCTGACAGATTTTAAGGGGCAAAGATGGAATCTCACTAACTATTTGAGGGTAGCAATGGTGTTTCAGATAATTTGGGAAATGTGATAATTTCAGTACAGATGTTGATCAAACATTACTCAAAGGTTTATTACGGAAGTGCGGAAACGTATGGGTATCCCATTGAGGTAGATTAGAGGGTAACGAGGAATGAGGGTAATCAGATGCTTGGATACAATGAGAATGGCTTTGATCTTCTCAGCTTTAAATTTTAAATCATTGCTCGCTGCCCAGGTACTGATACTGTCAATATCTTCTTGTATCTTTCCAATTGCCTCAAGCATCTCGGCAGGATGGAAGGAAATGTAGATTTCGAGATCGTTCGCAAATAAAAGGTATTGTGAATGATGGATGAAATCAGAAAAAGCCATTAATGTAGATGGAGAAAAGAGTCGGTGAGAGCGAAGATCTCTCAGGAACACCACGAGTTAGTGAGAGGGGTGAGAAAGCAGTTTTATTGGGAATGATGACTGTTTGGGATCTTTAATACAAAGAAGAATGGAACAACTTCAGAGCAAAATTTAATATGGAAAGGTTTCGGAATTCGTAGGATTGGTAAGGAGGATTTCGTGACTAACGTCAGTGAAAGCTTTTGAAAAATCAAAAAAGGATAAGGATAATGATCTGTTTGTCTATATAGAAATGAAGACCCGTGAAAATTTTCACCAAAGCGGATAGGGTGGATAATTGGGATCGGAAGCCAAATTGGAAGGGATTGAGGAGAGGTTTTTGCTTAAGGAAGGTATTAAGCTGTGATATGATTATTCTTTCTTGATGAAAGAATTCTTCTTCTTGTGATATGATTAGGCTTTGAAAGATTGGGGAGAATGGAGATGAGTCTGAAATAAGAATCTTTGGAACCGGTGGACAATAATTTTTGTTCAAGGTGACGTGGAACTGGAATTTTGTAAGGAAAAATTGTAGATGTGCGGAAAGACAGGAAATACGACTGGAAGATATAATTTGATTAACTTCATAGGAATTAGGTCCGGGCCATATTCGTTTGTTCTGGATTTTCCGACAAAGGAAAGCAGGTCTTCTGGTAAAATATTTGTAAAATAGAAGTTTTTAGGGTCAAAGGAAGGTTTAGGAATACAGTATGAGGAGGAAAGTGGTAATAAGCCAGGATCGGCAATGTGGGAATTTAGTTGATCTGAAGAAACAGGGTAGGAAGTGTAGGCATTTGATTTTACCACGGAGAGGTTTTTAAGGATTTTCCATCTGGACTTAGGATCTGAGGCTTGTGATAAGGAAGTATGAACGAATTGTGCCTTAGTACATCGCAAGGAAGATTGTGTAAAGGTAAGGGTTTGGAAAAGTCTTAAAAGATTCGTCTTAAAAGATTAAAGTCATCCGGATTACATGTTCGTCTGAAACCCCAGCTTGCAGCATCTCTTCTCTTCATCAACTCTATTATTTCTGGATTAATTAACTAGGAAGCAGCAGGGCGTCTGAAGGTCGAGGTATTTAAAGAGTGGTAACTTACTTAATTCAGATAATTGGATTGCGAATCATATTTTGGTTGTGTTTCTACAGTAGTCTCTATAAAATACTATAAACTGTTAGGAATCCATTTGACAGTAATTAGAATGATATCATAACAATTAATTGAAACACACAGCTGTTATCTTTACAACAACAAATTTCGAAGAAATCCTTTCACTGAATTTCTTCTTCAGTAACAGTTATCAGTATGTTGGTATCTACCATTGCGGGTGACCTCAATGGATCTTGTATTACACCCAGCAGTATGCTCTGGGTCACTGAAGCGAGATGTTCTTCTGGTTCTGCTGTGTCCTCTTTCTCCTGCAGGTCTCTTCCCCGGTGGCACAAGGGCGTCTCCTCCCAGTCCCGTTAAGCCAATGCCCGAAAGGTTATGTGCTGGTTAAATGCAATAATACACCCTGCTGCAGAAAGTTGATGAAGTTGTATAATACAGGTAGGCCTTATCTAATGAATTATACCCATATCATTATTTGTTATCTCATTGGTGACATTCATATTTATTTATTGTGTAATAACATTCATAAATCATTTCAAATTTTTATTGAAAATCAATTTCGATGGTACTGGTGGGACGTAATGATGTAGGTTAAGTGTTTTCGTTTTTTTAGTATGACTGTAGATAATCGTATGGTAAAGTTTTTCGAACTTTTATTGCAACTAAATTATATTACCATAAGTAAATGGTTAGGTAAAAAAATTATGAATAATAATAAAAATATAATTGATTTCTTTGTAAGCATTATTATAATTTATTTATATGGACTTTAACGTAAATATATTTATACACATTCACGTTTTATGGGTATTGTTCCATAAGCCCCTAACCAAGTAATCCAACAGAATATAACCGTCATATTCTGTTGGATTACTTGGTTTCAATTAAACATTGGGACGGAGTGAAAACATCCACTTCATTATCACGCAATATATTTTTTAATGTTGTGGCTAACTTTAATTGGTGTCTGTTTTTTTTTTTTCGAAACGGATGTATTCTAGTAAAAAGTGTTAGACTGTATGTAGTGTGTTTTCACACTTTTGACACACTTCTATTCCTCTATGAAGTTTGTAAACAGGCAGTGTTCAATTCGTATTCTGCACAATATGATTTATTCCCTTCTACATTTTCTGCTGCTTGTGACCCATTTTTTGCACACAATGGAATATAAACTGGAGGGAGTTCATATGACAAGACGGTCAGGTTTATGAAAGTCTTTCTTGTGCAATCATATGTCTGATTGGAGTCATCGACTTCCAAAAGACTTATGATCTCAACTTAAAACCTATAATTATCTCAGAGTATTGTTATGAGAACACGTTGTAATCCAGCTACAAACTCTGCCTAAATTTTGAAAAAGGTACTGTAAGCCTCAGTCGTTACGCATTAGTATTAATAGCTCCCGTTTACTATGGGTATCACTCACATGCGGATCTACGAGGGATGGAGAGGGGCTTTTGTGCAGAACCTCCCTCTCCCCCAAAATGGTAAAATAAAACCATTATTATTATTTGGCTTTGGGTTCCCTGCCTGATTGTATATAGGCATTTTATATAGGCATGACTGTGTTTTAATATTTTTAATTTACTTATCTTTAGGTTATTTTCATTATACATAAAAATCGAATTTTTATATAAAAAAAAAGTATTATTGTTCGTCTAATTACATTTAATAGGACTTAAAGAATCACCTAAACACCATTTCATATAGATATTTAGTTTCTGTCTTCCTTCCGAAGTAATTATCCTAATATATACATACAAAAAAAAAAATCTTTCGGACTGAAGCCCAACCAAAATTAAATCCTGAATCCGTTAGACATATCACATCTACTAGTATTATAAATCATTGCATCATTACTTTTTTAATAACATAGAGAAAATTCATACTTTTTCATGGGAGAGAAATTGATTGGGGTTTTCAGTAAAACAAAAAAATTATAATTCGTTTTGCAACGATTTGAAACAAAGGAGATGAAATGGAAAGATACCGCCATTAGTTATTTCATCAGAATGGGCGATAGAGCAATCTCAAAGGGAAAAAATGTTTTATTTTCCTACTCAGATAATGGGTATTTTTCCTTTAACAGATTAGTTTAAATAGACTGGGCGCGTCTTGTTTTTCCTAGTAACAGTTTTCATTGTGGGTGACTTCGACCGAACTTATAGCATCCAGCAGTCCGCTCTGGAACATTGAGGCAAGATGTTCTTCTGGCTGTGCTGTGTCTTCTTAGTCCTGGGGGCCTTTTCCTCGGAAGCACAAGAGGAGAAAACCATCCCGATAATGAGAAGCTCTGCATGTCCGGAAGGTCAGGTATTGACTAGATGCAATCGAGGTCTTTCTCTCTGTTGTAAGGTCTACCCTAGTGCTGATGGGACATAAGTTCAGGTAGATTATGTAGCTCCTTACGTAGTACAATCGCACGACGAAACATTTTGAATTTTTATTACTATTAAGTTTTATTACCCTGAAAACTATTGTGTAATAAAATATTGCTTGCAAAATAATCATTCTTATCCTCATCGAAGAGCGGTTTGATAGTAAAGAAAAGAAAGTTTAATGTTTAATTCGTAGTTTTAAAAAGAGATGATGAAAAATGGTCATCATATTATATTTGTATATTTGAGCAAAGTTTTAAAATTATTCATATGCAAATATATTAATAAATTTGTAATCGACATAATTTTGTTCACATTATTGTTGGATTGAGTTATAATATAATTAGAAATAGTTTTCTGCTAATTAATTAAATAAAAGTTGTTTTCTATTGTTTCAGGTCCAGACAATGAAGAATCATAAAGTTTATTACAATGATGCTGCTTGTATGGAACTATTAAAGTTATAATTAACACCTATGTTCATTAGAATTATTTTTATACAACTTAGTATACAATATGTTTCATTGTTATTTATCTATTTTTTACTACTGTCATAAAAAATAGCTTCTCTATTTTATTCATGGTTTTTATGTATATAAAACTATGTATCAGTGAATTGTATTTAATTTAATAGAGACTGTGCATATGGGAATATTGTGAATATTTTTTCCCTATATACAAGATTTTTATTTTTTTTTACTTTCATTTACCTATATATGTAATATATAATAAGAAAAAGTACTGCCATCGGGAAAATTTTCGAATGTGAGTTCTCAACGCACCCCTGAGTCTAAAAAACCAAGTTCTACAAAATGGTGTGTGTCATCAGTCTAGTTCAAAAAACGAAAAGCCAAAAAGGAAACTGATATTACTTATTTAAGATAGGTATATGCCTTGGATGTGACTTTTTTTCGTAAAGCAAATTTTTCGTAAAATCGACTAACTGGAAGTGGCACTTCATATCATATCAACGGTTATACACATTTTTTTAAATTTTCTCAAAAAAAGACTCCACAATGTTGATTAAACTAGGTGCATCATTGTAAAATTAAGTGGTATTTAATATCATTGAGGTCTTATCCCCATTGATGTCACTGATTATTAAAATGTCACTTAAATGCTTAAATGTTCAACAGGTCTTCCTCTAAACTACCTTTAATTAGGTTAATTTTGAATAATTAACTATCTCTCCTTATAAAGATATAGCTATATATAACTTTTGAAACAATTTAATGCTAACCCCTGACGAAAGTCGTGTTGAAACCTGTCCTATTTGTTTTTCAATATGTTTATTCCAAGAGAGTCTTTTATCGAGTTTCACTCCTAGATATGTAGCTTCTTCTGTGCGTTTGAGCACCTCATTATTATGGCTCAAAATTATCTCCTGTGATTTGGTAGAGAGGGTTTAAAGTTGGAATTCCGTCTTTTCGGAATTAATGATCTCGTTTACATTGGCCCACTTCTCTAGTAACTTCAGTACTTGTTGCATGTGCTTTTTTAGCCCTTTAAAGTAACTACTTGTTGCCCAAATGACGAGGTCATCTGCGTACAGCAGAGCATTTGTACCCGGAATAGTTTCGGTGAGTTCCGTGATTTCATCAATCATGCTGTTAAACAGGAAGGGACTCAGCACCGAACCTTGTGGGAGGACTTGTTTTGTATGGCGATATGTCGAGACAATGTTTTTATATCGCACCCTTATAAGCCTTTGATGTAAGAAAGCAGATATAGTCTTGAGCAGATATCCTGTGACTCCCTTGTTAAGAAGCTTACTCACCAGCTTCTTTCTCCAAACTCTATATTATGTCGTCTTAAAATCTAATAGTGTTTCGATTCAGAGGGAAAAAAAGTTTGAATATTTGAAAATTTGGAGGAGTTATGACGTTTCTCACTCCTGAAAATTAGAAATTTGTGACTGAAGTGGTTTCTGCCCTCATCGATTCATTTATGTTAAATATCAATATGGTTATTTTTCTGCATTTTGAGTTACCATTTAATAAACGATTATGTGGAAAATTTGTGGGAATCTTTTTTCTCCATATACTCGATTTTTAATTTTCGAATTCAATACTTAGGGCACATAATTTTCAATTGTTAGATTTTCAAATGTTTTGTAGCGTGATCTACCGTTCAATGAAGTCATTAGTAAAATAGTCAATTTATATTTGCAAAATAGCCAGTGATTAATTTGAAATATAATCTTATTTATTTTAAAACATTCATTTATCGATATCAGCATTTTTATAATGTTTTTCTGTCAATGTTTGTTGGAATGCCTAACTGGTTATGTGAAAAATTGATTTGACAAGCAATTAATCCTTGGTCTTCTAGTGCGCATTAGCGAATTGACTCGAAAACCAATCCAATATTTTTCGACCTAGTATCGCCAAAAAAAGTTTGATTGCAGTCGGTAATGCAATGTCAGTAAGACCCTCTAATAAGTTGAATGTAGTTGATATCAGGATTTATTGTTTTTACTAGAGCTAAAAAAATTACGAAGCGACTTATTATAGTTTTTAGAAGATAATGGCTGATTTGAATCCGATCCGTATTGGTTGAAATTTATGTCATAGCGAATCCACGGATATAATATGGACCTTGTCATTCTGGTTAAGATATGTTTGGTTGTAACCCTATAAAAAACATCCCCTATGCCAGAAAAAAAAATTATAAATATAATAAGGTTTTTAAAAGACTTATACAAATCCTAGACTCAGTGACATATTCAGTGTATTAGCACAGTATATAACACTAGGAAGCAGAATTCATAATACTAATAAGTTTTGAAATCCCTTGTGTCGACTTCGATATCTCGAGGTCATCGAGTTACAGAACCGTTCTTATCGCCCTCAGTCCTATTTCCTTCTTGAAGACGATATGTCAATTCTGTCGTTCTTCTTCTTGATCCTCTTGTTCCAATCGTCTTTAGGAACTGTAGCCAACTTAACCAAATTCAGGCCTATTCCACGGAGGATGATAGACGTGCCGCTGATCTCTTGTCCGAGTGGGCAGAGGATGAGCAGATGCGGCAACGATTTGTGTTGCAGAGAAGTAGCTTTGGGAGGTAAGTAAAATATTTTGATGAGAAACATCCTTATTTCGTTTTTTTTTTTCTTTTTTTTTTGAGGAGCCTTGATATAATTACTAAGGTTTAATCAACTTTCACATCTTCTGGATTACAGATCTTCATTTAACTTACGAAACAAGCGACTTATCTACAACACCTTACTGAGACCAATATGGACATATGGAGCAGAACTTTGGGGTTCAGCAAAAGAAACACACATAAACAAAATACAAACAGCACAATCAAAAATTTTACTAAAAATTATTATTATATTTTATTTTATGCAATTTGCACCTGCGCAGCTGCGCATCTAATTGCTTGATTTTTTTTTTTTGATGTTTTTATTGATGTAGTAGGTCTCTTGGCCATTTTCATCTGAATCTTCGTTGTTCATTTCAAACACTACTATACATAACGACTTAAACACCCCAACAGTAAAATCCTACATCCACGACAAATACACTACATATCATTCTTCAACCCAAAATCACTCCAATCCTCTGGTTCTTTCTATCTCCTGCTACCTGTTACCTAAGCAACGAAGATTCAGATGAAAATGGCCAAGAGACCTACTACATCAATAAAAACATCAACATAAAAAAAAATCAAGCAATTACACCAAGAAAATAAAAACACAACAAATTTGCTAGATGCGCAGCTGCAAATTGCATAAAATAAAATGTAATAATAATAATCAATATACGAATAATTTTGTTTAAAAAGGCCAAATTTACTCCAACACATCTCATTTCATTCATAAAAAAACTCTTCAATACGAAGTTTACATAACCGTCCTCCAAATATATAACGTTTTGGTGTTTATCAATACTTCTAAATATTCTCAGACCTCTAAAGTCATTAAACTACCAATAACTAACTACCTATATGAAATGGTCTTTAAGTGATTCTTTAAGTCCTATTAACTTTAATCTGACGAACAACAATACTTTTAGATATTTTTTTTTTCATAAAACATGGTTATATTTCACCATTTTGGGGGTGAGGGCTTCAGCCCAATTTATAATAATTAACTAAATTTTTAATTATTAATTTAACAATTACTAGTAGTACTCTGTAAACAAAAATTTTGTATTGTTGTTATGACTTGTTTTTGTTTTTTTAGAATATTCGAAAATGATAAACAACGCCGAAATAATACAGAAAATACATATAGAAAATAATCTAATAATTTATTGCCATCATAGAAGACATTTTTTTTTTAAATATAGTATTTTGTTTACCTAATTTGATCTTAATAAAAAATAAATTTCCGTAATTAAGTTCTTAAAACGCTTCCCAAGTCGGAGGAAAAAACAGGTTCCCTGGGGTTTGCAGAATATTAAATCAATTTTTATTTTTTAACAACTAGAAGTGAATCTGAACTTACTCGACAACAAATCTTAACGTAGTTAATACAGACTTAATGCTAATTTTTTAATTTTTACAAAAGTGGGGTATCTGTAGTCTAGTCAGGAAGATAACAAAAAAATCGCGAATACTCCACGATTTTATACAATAAAGAGGCTTTCATATCCTACAGTATCGATAAGTCGAGAGTTGTCGCATTAACTGTAAGTGGAGTATATTGTGAGTTCACAGATGGAAAATGCATCATATTATTCGCAAATTTAATTTTATATAATGTTGAATAAATTTTAATGGATGAGAGACATAAAATCTGAAAGTACCGGATTTCCTTGACTGCAATCGGAAACTGGAATATGCGAATCGTGTTAGATGCAAGGCTCTGTATTCTATATGCGGATGAAATTGTGCTCATAGCCGATTCATGATTGAAACTACAGCAAGCACTGGTGGAATGGGAAGAAGATCTACTAAGGAAATGCATGAAAATTAATATCTCTAAGAGTAAAGTGCTGGTTATGGCGAGAGAAGAACAGGAAGACGTCCAATTGGAGGTTCTTGAGGCAGTGAAGGAATTCACCTACTTAGGGGAAGTAATTAGTTACTCTGGTGAGACAGATTCTGAGATTTCGAACAGAATATCCAAGACAAATCAGACATACTACCAGACCACTAGCAGTATCCTTGGCCACCGTTCAGAATTGGATAAAAAAGAAGAATTGAATAAGAATACTCAGATGCCTGAAGTAAGTTTGTATACTTGTCTCTTTTCAACTACGTCAGAGAAATCTGGACTATGTTGAAAAGACGTTGCAGCAGCAGAAATGAGATTCCAACGTACATCAATGGAGAAAACTAGGGTTAGCATCAGAAACGAATGGGTGAGACAACAGCTGAAAATACCTGAATTCAAAACCACTTTGGAGAATAGACAACCAAAGCGGTTTGGATATTGGATTGGTCTGTAGCATGACCGAGAACATGGACCCTATAAAGAGATTATAAAGGCTCGACTTATTGGGAAGAGACCACGAAGGTACTCCAGAGTTTCATATCTGGAATTCATGCAGAGGGTTCAGAGTATAAGAGCCAAATCTATCAAACAAATGAAGCAGTTAGTCATAGACTGAAAAGAGTGGCTGCGCTGGATATGCTATGTGAGGAAGATAAAGGAAAGAAGAAGATAATGTTATATGAATATTTTTCAGGATAAATCGTCGATATTCCTAATTATT